CGAGGTCAGCAGGAAGAATTGAGACGGACATCAGGGTGGTTAGACACTCACGCGGCGATCACGCAGAGAGTGATTTGAAGCCTCCAGTGATGTATGTCACGGATCTTGCGAATCTTCCAGAGAATGCAGGGCGCAAATATCCACGACCAAAACAATTGCCACAGAATCGAAGGAATCCTAGATACTAGTCAGAAGAAGTCGACCGTGGTATAATCAGACAGTGAATCTTGCCATTCAGGACCTCGCCGACACTCTGCGAGACTGCCACGTTCGGAGAAACTGCCGAAGCCATGGAACTTTCGAGAGGCAAGGTAGACAGAGAGTGAGAGACATAGCTGAATTCGAGATGGTTAAATAAGCCTGGACGGAAACGAATGCGCCAGGTTGACTCACTTGTACCGCCATTCCCACGGCAATGGCCACTTCCGTTCGGTGAACCAAGTTCATTTCTTTCCATTGGCGCCAGTATTGGCTAGGGCATTTCGAGCCAGGACCACGACTAGACTTCTGCGGTTGGTGTGCGGTATGGAGCATCTTCTCCTGAATGCCGGAGACGCTCAGGAGCTGCATGCTATTCGCTTGGAAAAGAGCGATTCCCAGCGGCAGGTAGATGCTCATGATCCAGTACTCTACCCCGCAGGGGTATGCACCGGCCATCGTGTATGCCAGCATGCAGAGAATCCAGTAGATATGAAGACATAACACAGCGCTGAGGGCGAGAGGCAGGTTCCGAATGCGAATGCATTGCTCATGGCGATTGATGACCAGGAAGACGGAGCCGACAAGCAGTGCGACCGTCCACACGATGGCCACCGACACGTAGAATTTGCCTAAACTATCGAAAATGCCGTCCGGGTAGGTGGAAGCCATGCTTGATGGTCACGAAGATCGAGACACGCCATCCAGAAGAAACCGATCGCTCGGGACTCCGGCCATCAAAATAGATTTCTCGGTAGGCAAGAGGAATGTTATGTAGAGAAGATTGTGCTGTGTTTCTGCTCTGTCAAGCCACGGGATCGGCAGTGAAGATCACTGGCTTCCTGTGATCCTCCGGGGTAAGGTTCACTAGTGTTTCCTCTGGCCGAAATAACCCCTGAGCCACTTCCACCGGTCGACAGAAATGCCATACACACCCTAGTCCAATTGGTGCAATTGACGGCCCTGACGTTTGGAGGGGTATCAACAGCAATGATTCGGCAGTCTCCAGTGCCACCGTCGCCATGATAATTACGTACAGACTACGGAAGCCATTAGGTGTATTTCCGGGAGAAGGAAGATATGCGGAAGGCATTCCTCCACTCGTATGACCCGTCGACTCTAGATCCACGCACGGATCGCCCATTCACCAGGGGGAAGAGCGAAAGAGAGTGGATTGAGTCTTCAATGAGCGTCGTGTTGGCTTGTGGTGGAGTCCATTTTAACGTCGGGCCGTACTAGTCCGGCGCCCCAACCCAATCGGAAGCGCAGACTCGGGGGTCAGCTGTCAGACCTAAGCCCTAGTTGCAGATGAAGTGCATTAGAAAGGTTACATGCCCAGAATATCTTCTGATACTTCACAACACGCGGTGGGCCTCCCCTCGTACTTTTGGTTGCCTCGTCGGCCCTGTCCAGGAAGTGCTATGGAATACTATTGGCTCCGGAGCTCGTTTCGTCATCTTGAAGGCATGATTGTCATAAATATCCTCTTCTTCACCACCAATTTCTAATTTACTGTCTGCACGCAAGGACGTAGGATTCATGCACAGAATACCAATGGAAGAGAATATGGAAGCATCCATCGGGAGTAAATGTCGCTGGACGGTGTCGATTTGTGACTATTTCTTCTTGTGCAGCCTGACGCATCAGAGGCGTTCGCCTATCTCGGTAAGCGCCAGGAAGAGAACCCTTGCCTGACGTGTTCCAAGTTCCAACTAGCGTTCCAACTGTCCTTAATTTCTTAATCTTACAAATCAGTGCCAGGATTATTAGTCCAGTCTTTTGCCAAAGTATGGGACCCAGGTAGTTTACCCATTGGCACATGTTTGTTCAGTTGCAGAGATTCTTCGTTCCAGGAAGTCAGTTTTGTGGAAACGCTTGACCCCCCCTACGCCACGCGAGCAAGGGGGCCCCCATGACGAACACAATTTACCGGACGGCACTCATGACGAGATTTGACTTCTGAAGCTAGAGTTAGATCTATTCCGTATAGTTTTCATGATCGCGATTCACAGTCATTGCTTGGACCGCGTTACTCCGTAATTCCCGCAAGCTTCAAGCCGAGCAGCAAGGGCTTGAAACTATCCGTTTGGCAGGTTGTGCCCGACGAACTGTGCATTCCACCCCTTTTCTATCAGTCAATGAATGTTTGTGATATCTCCAAAGTTAGTGCCGGTTGGACCGGCAATTTTACTTCGTATATGGACTCTTTTCGCGAGGTACGCCATGCGTGTAGGCTGCAGCATGGGGTTCTGATCGCAAAGGCTCTGCACGCGTTGCACCATGCTCTCCCCGTATCGTGGCAAGATGTTTGTGGATGATGACTATCGAATAGTAGTGTGATACATTCAGTGGCTTCAATATTCAAGAGACCCAATAACCCCATGCCGCCGATATGATACGTTGAATTCATCCATCCCTGTCCTCGTATGCCATCGGTAAAAGCCAAGAAAGAACTATGTGTCCATGCAAATCTCGACATAGTGATCGTATTTCAGGCAAACATGGAATTCTGGCATGGCGTTTGGGCCATTAATTTGTCTATCAACACTAACGCCAACAATAGCAAAGACTGAACAGGGGTAATTCTTGGGTACGCAAAACAGCCCTGGAGCTCTTGTGCGAAGCTTTTCGACCGGGAAATTCGCGCCAGGATACAGTTTAAGCTAGAGGGTTCGTGGAAATTATAACCGCCTCACAGTTGGCGCCGATCTAATATTTCACCATCAATTTCAGACCTGTCCCAACCAACCGCGCGCTAACGATGAATGCTGTTCCTGCTAAGAGCATCACACCCGAGAAGATCTTCATATGAGTATAGTCGCCACCAGCATTTTGCAGAATTGCTCCTGCAATCGGACTGGTCGTCAACCCACCCACAGACGCAAAGAGGAAGAGCAGACCAGTGCGATAGCCAACCTCTTTCAACGGTGAGATCTGAGCGATCAGTGCGGGCGAAAGACTAACGTATGCTCCAGACGCAAAGCCAAAGAGAATCGCAAACACGATGATAGGTGCACTAGAGGTCGCCGGAATCCAAAGAGCGAGTACAAGCACGCCAGCAACGATACACATGACGATAAAGATATTGTATCTACCGTACCGATCGGACATAAATCCCGCTCCGAGACGACCAAAGAGGCTGGCCGCGTTCAACATTGGAACTAAGTATGACGCGAGATCTGCGCTCATACCGCTTGCGACTGCCTGGACGATCACATAGTTGATCGGGATAAAGACACCGTAGGTAAGAAGCATGTATCCGAGGAGGGTAATGATGAACACCGGCTCTTTGAATGGTTGAACCAACTGCACACCGGAGGGCTTTGGTCCTTGCTGTGGTGTACTCCGTGCCTTCACAGTGACAATGGCGATGCCAAGTAGGAATAGGATCATGAACGCGGAAATTCGCATGCTCCAGCCAAATCCAACTTTCGCTATGAGGCGGTCGACCATGATAGGGAAGATCACCCCGCCGACGCTGGAGCCCGTCGATAGAGTGGCAAAAGCGATGCCGCGTTTGCGATTAAACCAGGCGCTGACGGCGCTGAGGGCTACGTTGGTTAGCTTCGACGGCGATCCGGGTGAAGGAAAAAGATATTACCAGGTTGAAATATAGCGGCTGCCCCGATGGCGCTGCAGATGCCTTGGGAGAGCAAGATTTGGTAGTATTCTTTTGAGATTGACGCCATCATCAGCCCGAAGACATGAAAAAACGTCCCTCCGATAATCAGGTATCGAGCACCAAATGTGTCGTACAGCTTCCCAACAATGGGGCCCTTTGTGGCTTGTAAATATCAAATCCAAATACACTACCGGTGTCCACAACGTGCCAACATACCATAGCAAACATAAAGAAGATTTGCAACGATGGGATCCAGGAAATAGTGCTGGAAGAGAACTGCTTCAGGAGGTGAGATTCATAATAGCTCTGAAATATTCCGACACCTGGTATTTCATACGGTTAGTCTGGTTGTCTTCCAAGATTCTCACGATTATGGATACACACTCACTGTTGACCCATCCAAAACTACAGAAAGACGTGCACCACGCGCCTACCACGACCAACCACGCGGTCAAACCCCCATCAGGAGGCGTATCGGACTGGTCTACCGGAGACAGAGATTTCTCCCTATCCATTGATGTTGATACGCCCCCTTCATCACTCCGTAGTGAAAGGTTATCACGTTCGTGCGAGCTGGTACGGCTTGGATGCATGTTGGTTCAACGGCCTGTGCTCACCAGACAAATGGATAATACGCTCATTCAAGGTCCTCTGGTCATACCCGCAAATATATAGGGATGGCCGTTTCTTGCTGCATTGCTTATCGTCGTCATGGTAAATGAAATCATCTCGGCTTCGGACTCCTTGGCGTTCAGCTCGGCTCGGCGCTAGAGGGCCATGGGGCCGACGATTCAAGAGTAGAGGTGATGATTATCAATAGAGATTGTCTCCGGCTGGCCCACAGTGCATAAGGGGCAATGGAGCCTACTGCCTGCGTCACAGACGAGTCATCATATGCGTGTAATTACAGCACAGGTTGCAACAGTGCTATTGGAAGTCACGTATGAGGTTACTGGGATAGAAGCTATGTAGGAGTAAATCCTCTGCGTAGTTTGTTTGTCAAGAACCCTACAAATGGTTATTCTGGACACCATGCTACCAGATTTACTAGCCGTACATTGTAGAATATATTTATGTCTAGCGAGCCGGGAAGTGAGTTGATGGAGAAACTTGCTATTTCGGCACAGGAGAGATCGGATTGTGGACTCTGTAAAATGGCTACTGTCGTCACCTATTTGCACTAAGGTTCAAATCGATACATCCCCAAATTCTCTGAGAGGTTGATCCAGTCAGTCAAGGAACTTGGATCTAGAGGAGCCAAGAGATCCCCAAACCCGTCCGCTGCGCCTCCCGCATCCTGCCCCGAATGCTCTTCAGCCGTGCGTGACTCGAGGACACGTTCCTCAGACGCTCCACGAGGCTGTGTCGGCGAGGACATTGCGACATTCGCTCTCCGTTGTATCGCCTTTTCCCGTAAGTGCCGCAGCACCTTCCACGTCGGCCCTGGATCCGGCCGGGTTGGGTCATTCTCGGTTATGTTGAAGACGGCGTCGACAATATTCCACACGCGCACCACGTGAGGCCCGGCGGGCTGAGCGCACAGATGCCACAGAAGATACATCAGGCAGTGGAACTGATTGTAGCTGGCGAATAACCAGCGGAACCCACGGAGCAGGTCGTCTGTCTGCAGCTCCATGCTTTGCTCCAAGCAGGCACATGCCGATATCAGCGTCTGTTCCGCAGTCGAAGAAACAGCTTCCTGTGATTGATCATTGCTGAGGCCCACTTGATAGACGGAAAATTCAAACTTGGAGAGAAGAGAGCGCGTGGAAAGCCACGCGACCTTCTGGATGGGAATGTTCGTATCGCAGTTGCACAGGTACGTACTCTCCAGGTAGGTTGTAAGCTCATGCACAGTTTGGAGACGCTGGGAGAGGTCTCTCTGGCCCAAGGTGCTCTGGTATACCTTCTGAAAGGCGATGGCAATCTCCGATGTGAGGAGAAAGAGGCTCATCTCAGTCCATTTCGCGCGTGGTCCTGGCAGGATTCGCAGATCGGGTGACAGATCACTATCATTGACGTGCAGGGGGAGACGAGTATCCGATCGGCTGCCAAAGCCATGTACTGCAAGACCGTGGTCCTCGGCAGCCCGATAGTCTAGAACTAGTATCTGCCACCAGAGGCGCCGGCGGACCTCAGCGTCGAATGGGGGGAGATTGAAATGGGTTCCGTCGCGATGGAGGCCGATCGACAGGGCAGCACGGATGAGGACTCCATTGATGATCCATCCAGATCGACTTGTACGGTGTGCGCGGAGGCATGTCTCACAAGCAAGGTCAGTTCACTTGCCCAATGACGGGGAAGGGTAATCTCACGATATAGATGGCCAGGGCCTGCAAGGACAACATGGACGGCGCGTCCAGACAGGCCGCGTCGATCATGACCTTTTCGAAGCGGGCTTGAAAGTCTAGCAAGCTGGATCGCCTATCGCGCCCGAGGAGGTTTGCAGCGTCGACCTCGGCCAGACTGGTCACTGCTGCAAAGTAAATGGCGAACAGAAGCGCCCTGCAGTCATCCGATCCTTCACCGTTCATAATCGAATACACCAGTGGCTCCACTGTTGGAAGGTGAAGGATTTTGACCACGGGATCAACATTGTTGCGATATATCTGCCATAACTGTGCGGATTGCCAGCGCGACAAGTCGAGCTCGTTACCCCCATGCGCAGGCCGTCTGGCGCTTGCCAAAATGCCTTCTGGTCGCAAGCCTGCGTTGGTTTCATCTGTATCCCGTGGGGTCCCTATGACTTTGCACAGAGCCTTCTCCTTGTCCAGGATCTGCGAGAGGAATGCCTCGTTGATGTACCGAGTGGAGGCACCATCCGGAACAAGAAGCTCCTGTTGGCGGCTGGGAGATTGCGGTGGTTCTGGCAGCAAGGCCGCGGAGGTGACTCGGACGTTCGGATGGTCAGGAAGTTGCGACGCGCCAGCATTGTTAGCTAGCACGGCCAGACTCCGTTCCAGCTGCACAACCCGATCGGTGATGGTGACTTTCTGGACCCTCCGAGGCCGATGAGCGTTGGCGTCGGTGGTGGGGTAGCGACACGCAGCGCCGAGCCGTACGCAGGCCGAGCACGGCAGCGTCTTGCTACAGCGGACTTTGCGCTGGTGGCACTGGGTGCATGATCGCTCCATGATCCTGTCGGGAACGTACAAACATGGAGATGCCTCTGGGTTTGTCTAACAGGCTCAAGGGAAAACGCTTGAACGTCGTATTGGTGGTGCTCGGTGGCTCGGAAATGCCAAGGCACCGACGTGCAGGAAGGCAGACATTTAGGGTTATCAGATACGAGAAATATACTAGTAGATCGACGTGCAAGTCGAGACCGTGGCTAGAGGTTACATAATGGAAACACGGGGATCGATGTCACCCTACGTGGAAATTTCATCGTCAATCTCAGCCATGAATCCACTCATGGCAACAAGATGGATTCTGGGTCTCACTAGTGCTCTATAGATTGCACAGGAGATGCCCTGCATGTACAAATCGCCACCCTTCTCATGTCCGCTGAACACACCTCACTTGCAAGTCTGGATGCGTGATCCAACACTCAGGGTCCTGCGTCCAACTCCCTTCCTCGAGCATCTGCAACTCATAATGCTTGACCAAATGCAACAGGATGGCCCGTATCACCACGTCAGCAGTGTAGCGCCCGATACACTGGCGAGGGCCAAATCCAAAGCGCCAGAAGTGGTACCGTAGATCCGTGTTCGAGCTGTTCAAGAACCTCTCGGGGCGATATGTGTTATTATCGGGTGCCCAAAATTCATTCCGCACGTTCAGTCCCCAGGTATCAACTACATAATTGGTGCCAGCGGGGATGCGATATCCATCTACTACACGCTCCGTCGGCGCAGACTGCGGGATGGTAAAGGGTAGGGCTGGACGGAGCCGGGATGACTCTAGCACACATGCTGCAAGATAGGTTCCGTTCCGAGAGATATACCCTTCTTCCTCGGCAGTTGTCAGCGCGGATATTTCCTCGTGCAGACGTGCTTGGCAGGCCGGATTGGCAGCCAAAAACACCAGGTTCCAGGAAAGACCCCCCGTTGTGACGTCCAGGTTGGCGTACAGCGTTTCGTCCATTGTCTGTGCAACCTGCTCCTCACTGAGGGTGCCCTTGAGCACGGCGTCGTACATCTGGACAACCATCGCCGACGGGTGTTTGTCCCGGGCACGCTCATATGCGGCGCGATTGAACGCCCGCCACTGAGAGCGGAATCGCTGCAGCTGACGGTTGGCTTCCGTTGGGAAGAAGCGCGAGATGTTAAAGCGGGCCAGACCACCGAAAAGAACGAATTTCATGAGATTTTCACGGGCAGGTGCGAGGGCATTGAGTTCAGATTTCATGTCTGGTGTAAGGGAGCCATAGTTGGCCTCTGCAACGATGAAAAACGGAAGCATCTTCAGGTCCTGAACGGGGTGTATCCGGCCCTCTCTCAAATTTCCGATGCTCTCGAGGTCATGGAAATGGGCCCTAACATGCTCCTGAATCCGACCGATGGACCTGACAGCTGCTGGGTGCATGAATGGTGGTGCCGCAATCCCCTTCAAGAATTTCCAGCGCTGACCCGCCATTAGCCCTAGGCACTCACCCAGGATACGGCTCATAAAGTAACCAGAATCACTATTCGTGGCTTTCGTATGCTTGTCTGAATCTCTGAAAATGGCGTGCAGCTGCTCGGGTCTTGTCAAGACCCTAGTTGTGCGTCAGTCAGATCGTGGTTTCCAACACGAGGGCACGAGGGTATCCGAACACTTCTGGAGTCATTCCTGCCCAAATACGGTAGACATTGCCGTATTTCCTTTGCCATTGTTCACTCCTCGTTCTCCCCTGCACGTACTTCTCTACATCGCCTTGTCCATTGGGCCACACGTAATTCGGCCCGGGGATACTCCTACCAGTCTCTGTATGTTGAATCGGATTCTGCAATTGTAAATAGATCTATAGCTCAACCGGTTTAGTTGAGCAATCTGAAAACTAAGCATGGGGTAGAGGCACATACACTGAGGACCCAAGAGATAACTCTGGAAACAGGAGCGAACGGTGCTGGGAGAAGCAGTGTGGCAATGCAGAGACTAGTCACAGCCAAGAGGACAAAAAGACACGCGTATAGAACTTCGGGCTGTGTCAGCCGATCCTGATAGGATAAGCCCAAGTTCGGCGTCGCCAACATGGTTAAAGTAACTAAGACCCGGTTATCCTGATGTCTCCTTCACTCGGAGTGTAGAACAGAAATGGCCGGCGGTTCGTGGTCTGCTCGCTCTATATAGTAGCACCAGACAAAGAGGATGATGAATGAAGGTCGGAGATACGACTTGATCAGGTAGTGATGGAAAACAGTGGCCTTCGCAGATATGGTTGCCTCACTTGAGTGCAGACCATCTGAAACTAGACTTGCTGACATGACATGACATGACGTGACGTGACTCGTATATAAAGTTTGAAAAGATGAGATCCTTCGACAATGAACCGTTAGGTAAATGGTATGCTCAGACTGTTACATCGCCAAGAGAGTAATGAAACTGGCTCGGATTGTATACGAAGGATAGGGCTGAGGACCCACAACAAGGCATGGCGAAGAGCGGATGTTGAGAGTAATCAATCGGTTCTCGAGAGAAGAGAAGGGATCCAAGGATTGTAGAGAGATCAAGGTAAGATAAAGCTGTAGACAGTATATATTGAGGTCAGAAGCCCAAGCAAATGGTAAGTCGCTAGATCCATCACAATCAATCGACCTCATCACATTTTCTAAATTCTGCTCTCCGACGAACCATCCCCACAATGTCAATCTTTTCAAACATCTCCTCACTTGGCCTCGAGGCATGCTATCGGCATCATGTCTGCACTACTCCCAATGCCACTGCAGTAGTGGACGGTGACCAATCCATGACATATCGAGAGCTGGACACGCGTGTGAATCATCTGGCCTCGATTCTAGCTTCGGAGTGCATCCAAAAAGAGGAGCCAGTTGGCATTCTAGTGCCTATGGGAATTGCACATGTAGTAGCTCAGGCTGCTGTGCTGCGTTTGGGAGGATCTTGTGTGCCCATGGATTTGTCATTTCCTGACCAGCGCATCAATGACCTTCTGCGTGCCTTGAAAACGCGTATTGTCCTCACTGTCGCGAGCGAAAAAGGTCGCTTTCCGGAATTCAAGCCCATACTCGTGGAGTCCAGGTACTCCAACGTGCACCAGAATGGATATCATGAAGATCCGGTTCTCGCTGTTGAGACTGGGCGCGATCATCGGACGCATATCCTACACACCTCAGGGACAACGGGTCTGCCCAAACCTGTGGAGATCATGTCCAAGGGAATCACCCGGATGGCCTTCAACACGCAATGTGTTGAGTTCAAGAGTACGGATCGAGTGGCTCAGATTTCGGCGCCCAGCTTTGACGCCGCTCTGTTTGAGATCTGGACTACTCTGGCTAGAGGAGCCACCATTGTTCTGCTTCCAAAGAACGTCGTTATTGACCCTGTTGCACTTCATGACAGCCTGCGCAAGTACCGCATCACTTCGATCCTGGTCACGACTGCTTTGTTGAACCATGTCGTGTCGGCCATCCCCAATGCGTTCGAGGACCTCGACTATGTACTCACTGGTGGCGAGGCGGCGAATCCCAGTGTGATGCAGGTGATATTGGAGAATGGACCACCGAAGAAGCTTGTTCATGCGTACGGACCAACCGAATGTACGATTATCACAACGTACCATCTCACAACCTTGGAAGAAGTCCGCCGGGGACAGACTCCTATCGGGAGACCATTGGATTGCACCAACGTCTATATCCTGGATGATGGTCTGCAGCCCGTCAAAAACGGCAGTGTTGGCGAACTTTATATCGGTGGTGACGCCGTTGCACGCGGTTATCTGGGGCGCCCAGAAGCAAATGCCAAGAGCTTCCTCGAAGTATCCCATTTATCGAAGGATGGGTCACCTGTTCGTGTCTACCGATCAGGGGACCTAGTTCGCATGCTTGACACCGGCGCCATTGAGTTCGTGGCGCGTGCCGACAACATGGTCAAGCTCCGTGGATTTCGCATCGAGCCGGCCGAGATCGAGGGGGCACTCCTAAAGAGCGAGATGGTCCAAGGTACCGTTGTGCTGCCCGTCCGTCGCCCGGGAAAAGAGACGTATATCGTGGCCTTTGTCATTCCCAAATATGATGGTGCATTTTCTCTGGAGCAACTCGACGAGTATCTGCGTCGGCGGCTACCTGCGTACATGATGCCTCGGTTGGAGGCCGTCGCCTCGCTACCCTTCACTGTCCATGGCAAGATTGACCGTGTAGCGGTCATGAATAAGCATTTGGAGGAAACGAAGAGGGCCGAACAGCAAGTTCTTGTATCCTCTAACGTCAAGGATACGGGAGACACTGTAACCTGGTTACGTACATTGTGGACATCAGTGCTCGGCATCAGCAATATTGATAACGAGTCTAATTTCTTCCACTTGGGAGGCAGCTCACTACAGGCGGCCGCACTGCTGGTCCACATTCGTCGGCGCTTCGGCATGACATTGACCATGCAGCAACTCCATGACTGTCCCACTCTTCTTGGCGTGACCAGTTTGATCGATGCTGGCCATGCCAAAAGCAAAGTAGACCACTCCCGGCTCGGCCTCTTCATCGCCGACTCTCAATTAGCCCAGGATATCCCTGTTCTGTCCAAGGAAGCTCCAGATTGGAGAAGTCCCTCCGAGGGTCGCGTGTTCCTGACCGGAGCAACCGGGTTTCTAGGGACGTACTTCCTACGTGAGTTGATCGACCGCCCAGATGTCAAAACTGTTGAGTGCCTGGTTCGTGCCTCGGACGCGCATTCCGCCCGTACACGGCTTCTGGGAGCTCTGGATAAGTACGGACTGGGATGCAACGACAATCTAGATAAGGTGACCGCCATTGCAGGAGATCTCGGTAAGGAATTGTTCGGACTGTCCGAAGCCGAGTTTACAGAACTAGCTCTCCGGACCAGCGTCGTGTTTCACATCGGCGCACATGTGAACTACGTGCAACCGTACGAGAAACATCGTAACACTAATGTCTATGGAACTTTGAACTGCATTAAGCTTGCGACGACTGGACGGACCAAGGCACTGCATTATACATCGACGGCCGCCGTCACAGGCCCAGTATCACACTTCACAGGTGCAGACCGCATCCAGGAGGATGTCGATCTTGGAGAGTTCCAGGGCTGGCTGCCCTACGACATCGGGTACACGCAGAGCAAGTGGGTCTCGGAGCAATTGATTCACTCCATGATCGCCAAGGGCCTGCCGGCGATTGTATTCCGACCGGGCTTCATCATGGGTGACAGTCTTCGAGGCAAGGGTAACTGCGACGACTTCATGTGCCGGGTGTTCATCGGCTCTATCAGATTGGGATATAGGCCTATTCTCCCGAACCAAAGCAAGATCATGATTCCTGTTGATTTTATTACCACCGCCCTGCAGCATATCACCTCGAACCCCAAGAACTTCGGACGGACTTTCCATCTGGTGCCACAAACACCGGAGGAGGACACGGATATTGAGACCTCCTGGGAAATGCTCAAGGAGCTAGGGTATGACCTCAAAGCGGTGGAGTACAAAGATTGGTTAGAGATCCTATCAAAGGACAAGGATCTGCTTACCAACCCATTACTGCCTATGCTACCAGTACTGCAGGAGCCAGTCCGGAAGCATTTAACTCGATGGGAGCTTTACGAGGACATGGCCACGTACGATGTGACAAACACCAGACAGTCGCTAGCAGATTGTGGAAAGCTGAAGTCCGGCATTGGCCTGGAGGACTTACGTCGACATGTTGAGGACTGGGTCACTCGCGGACTGGTACCTTCCAGTAACTAGGGTCTTTCCATAGAGTATGTCCTATGGCCATCTGTACAGATAGTCGCCCTTCTCCAGCTTGGGTTGTAAAAGAAAAATGGCAGATTAGAGGCTAATTTACATCACAATGGCTATTAGGTAGTGAAGGAAAGATAAATGAGAAGTAACAAGAAGGCTATCAAGTTCCAAGGGTTCTAATAACCTCTTCCGTGTAGCGATGCAATTCATAGAACGTAGATGACAAAAAGAAAAGCACTCTCGGATTGCAACAGGAGTGATATACGGAACGGGTTCGGACCGTGCACCTTATCTACTACTGGAATTTTATTATTGCTTTTGCTACGTATCCGTATGTATGTGGAACAAATAGGGTACAATTGAATGACATTTAGAAGCAACCTCGAAAATGTGTAGTGACAGTACCTGCAGCTAACTTTAGGACAAATGGGAAAAAGAACTCTGTGCCAGGAATACCACTGGCCTTCGTACAACGGCCTGATCACCATCGGTACAGTCTCTTTTCTTTATGTTTGAGGCTGATTTTCAAAGAATACTAGGCATCGCAATTCCAAGCTCTGGCGAGCCTCTTGCACACCCTGCGTTCTTGGATCCACAAAGGCTGTATGAGGCGTTCGTCTAGCTGTCTGGCTGTCATCCTTCGAATCGTAACATTTGATCAGCAGCACCTCATCCGGCTTCATGTCGGACATATAATACCATTTATGGCCAGGTGCATACTTGCCGTAAAGCATACCGAAACCGCCACCCTTTGTCGCCCCATCGTAGTCTTTGTTTTTCTCGTGGCCAGGAACCCGTCCATAGATCTCGACGAGATCGTCATCACTGAAGGAGCGTGCATCTGACACAGCCAAAGGGTCCCGGGGAACTGCCTTCAGTGGGCGCCATATGTTGATGATAGCCCATCGAGTTTTCAACAGTCGCTCAGCTTCCAACGCAGACATGTTGTCTTTTAAGACTTCGAAAGCTCCAGGCTCTGACTGATCCACATGGACATGCCGCGCGGGCACCATCACACTCGTGGCCTTCGTATCCGGGTCGGTCGAACCGGCCATTGCTTCGACCCTTTCATAAGGAGCCGTGCGAGTGATATGCGAAAAGACGTGGGCGCGGGTGGCACCAGTTCTTTATTTGTGGCATCAGCAACATTCTTGTGGATGTATAACAGAAGCTGAAATTAAAAGGGCCAAGGGAAAATAGAGAAATGGTACAAGGCTATACTTACACGCTCTTTAGAATATCCTCCGCTTCGGGGTACATATGTGTTTTCACAGAAGCTTCCTTGAAAAACGCAACATGCTGACTGACATGGTTCATGAACTGAAAACCATGGACGTCCAGGGTAAATGCGCCCTCTTCACCACGCACATCCTGGATTAGGACAGGCCGAGTATCAATGGGCCGGCGATATGCACCAACTGTGCCCAGTATAAGCTCCCTTTGCATAGGGCCTTCGGCAGGCCAATAATTCAAGAAGGTCTGAACTACCTGACGGGAGCGCATGGTTGTCAATGGACCTATCACCTAAGGGAAGCCAATCGGAGATTCTAGGTTCGGCGTGCAGTCCAGACAGCCCTCGGGAACGGGAGCTTAAATTGCAGTGATATGAGATGAACTGTATTGCTGGCTTGCCGCTATTTATGAGCGATGCCATTGTGACCCTTTTGAATACTTGGAGCCACGGCGCAGACCTCTGACAACACGAACCAAGCATGACTCGCAATACGAGGCTTTTCTCATGATAGTGCAGCCGATGGCGACCGTAGATTCTACACCGAAACCCCGAGTTTTGCTGTCAGTTGCTTTGGAGATGTAACGTTCAGGGATAAGAGTGCATAAATACGAGATGACCTATCCAACTGGAGGGTGCTGAGCACTGATCGTCGCTCGGAGGATACCTAGCTTCGTCCAAATCACAGCGCACTACAACAAGTCTCCCAAAATGCATATGCATGCTTGACCAACGGGTGGTGGCAAATGCCAGTATCGCGCGGGGACTGTGTTGCAAGGGCTCGGAGGCATGACGTGCAGGATATGATCATCATATAAGTCCTCTTGGCATGTTCCATTGCGTCAATGGCTATTGCTTGTGTAGAAATGATCATCGGCTCGGAGAGATGCCTGTTCCATCACGCCGTCAATGTGACTCTCTCTCCGGAGGAGAAGGCTTTCAGCGACAATTGTTAGCATTTCCTGCATTGAACTGGAGATGTTACCGTCTCACCGTGACTGACTAAGCTAGTAAATGATGTATGCTATACTTTTCAATTCCATCCACTCAGGTGGGCATGTGTTGAGCAGGGAATGTGAGGTTGATAAAAGAGCAGGCGCCCTACTTTCACACAACTGCTACCAGGCTCAAGAAAACGATACAACAGTAAGTCTGAGGCCTTCGGTTTGTCTCGGCTGTCGGAAGAGTGTATTTGAACGGAGTCCGAGGTAGTAGTCAGTGGGGACATTCGCGAGGTGGTCTCTGATGTTTGTTCCCCACTGCAGCACATTAGACATTCTTCACGCATTCTGTGCGGACCAGGGTTAGAGTATCGGAAGAAAAGGTACGCCGAGCGGATGAACGCGCATGGTGCCACTGTCGCGCAGAGTATATATGCTGGGCTTGACCTGCGGCTGACCAGTGCTTCCATTTTCTATTGAAGAGTACTCTGCCAAGTGCTGGCCTGATATCTCCATGCCCGCTGGCTTGACAAGACTATATGATGCTTGGGCTAAGCACCAAGCAAGCAGATGGAAGCGGTTCCTCCCGGAAAGGCTCCGTGAGTCGTCTGTTGCAGAGCTGCAACTCAATACGAGGTGCCACTAGCCAAGGGAATGATACGAGGCCGGCCTGTCAGTGGCTGTTGTGCTGTAGTCAATTAATCCACTGCAGTGCCTCGGAACCCTCTGCAGTCCGTACTTTCGCCTCCATATGGTACTTTTTGGCCCTTTGAAGTTAGAATTTCATTACCGCTCTGGAGGGGATTAACGGAATCAGTACACTCCATCCTAGAAGAGGTCTCTTTGGGTAACTATACTATACTGCTTATTGTCTTAATCTCTTCCTGAAGCTTGGCAGCTGATATTTTCCTGTTTAGAAATGTGTAAGAAATCCTTTCGCGGGGCCAGCCGTTGACTGCGCTGCAATTTCTGATTTCAGTGCTGCCTTGCCTTATATATTTCCGGATTTGCACCCAGTGCAGTCGTCGAGAGGATCAAACACGGATCTCTGGCTCTAGTCGATATGGGCCCCCCTCACGAGGAGATACTAGCCCTCAAAAGACGCAGGGAGCAAAACCGCCTTGCACAACGACGTCGCCGTACGTTTAAACCTTCGAATTGCTTCTATAAAGCCCAGCTAACTCACCCAGGTGATAATGTTCGACGGCGGCTGAGAGACCTGGGCCTCGACACTAACAGTCCGCTCTCTCCCAGTCCAATGTCAAAAGACCGTACAGTCACACTAAATTCTCACCAGAGCGCCAGATCAACCAACTCGTTATCGTTTGAGATCCCCATTGCTGACACGGACATGTCGCCATATGATGCGTCTTTGAAAAGCCTGGTACGATTGGACAGCCAAATTCCACTGACTGAAGTCTCATTGCCGGCATATGCCTTGTCTTTCTCATCATCTGCGGGCCCACTATCAGGTTCTACATCTGCCAGTCAGCGCACATACGATGATTCAACAGATCCTACTTGGGTACAGACTTTCTATGATACATCACTACCCACGATTTCCTTTGATGGCAGTAACACGCCACCCCGTGAGGCTCAAATCCCAATCACCGACGACAACAATCTCCCTCGAGCGTCAAACCTACGGAGTATGAGGTCTAGCTTAAATGACACATCGCCCAGAGCCTGCACGTTACCCTCGTCCACAGATGGTGACCAGATGAGTTCACCAGGCCTTCCATCTTATCAAGTCCCACAACATTGCAGAACGCCATTTCCGCCACAGGTACATCCGCGATGGACCACGGCGCTACATATGGCAGTCTCGAGGGGCAATTTCGCGGTGATGCGACTTCTCCTGGGCCATGGAGCGGACCCCAACGCAGTCAACAGCGAAGGAGCTACGGCTCTCCATGTCGGAGTCATAAATGGCAATTACACGATGGTGGCTGAGCTCCTCCAACGGGGGGCTGATCCCACCCTCACCAATGCGGCAGGCTGGCTTCCACTGCACCTCGCGGTTCATGCGGGCGATGAGGGTTGTGTACGAGTGTTACTTGAGGCCGACCAGCCTGTTGACTATCCCATATCCAATTTCGAGTACCCTTGAAGGATGATATTGCCACGGGCCCCATGATACGCACGTTCACATTACGAGAATGGGTGGAAATGAGTATCTTTCGGCTTCTTTCGTTATTTTCTCCTGTTTCTTTTTGGTCTTGGTTGGAGGGATGAGGCTTGGCTCCCTCTCCTGTACCCCTTGCTGATGACGAATTCTTCCTGATGGATTCCAACCCATGTTCACTACTCCAATTCCATTCTTGGTCCTGGTGAAATGCCTTCCCGGCGCTCCGCCGAACGGATTTCTCTTGATTGCTGCCTTGCATGACATTCATTCGCTTAGCCTCGGGTCTAGAACCTTTTTGCTTCCCCCACTTGGGGTCCTTGCAGGATTCCTTTTGTCACGCCAAGGCTCGGTGGTGGGATGCCCTCCGAGGCGCCGAGCAGAGATCTTATCTGATACAACGCCCAGCACGTAGTAACTATTCGACACCTTCACCAGTTAGATCTCACCAATGCCAGAAAATAGATTGCTTTGGGTCACGTAATGTCACCGAGCTGTTGTCATCTCAGTACTATATTTACCTACATTGCTTTAACCCACGGCAGCGCCCCGGAAGATCCGTAAGGATCCACGTTTAACCTTCAGCCTTGGAGTAGAGGACTTTCATATCGCACCTACATAAGGATAATAAACTCTCAACACACATCTCAATCAAGAAATTAGTGTTCCAACACTTGTTACCTATAAAGCATTGAGGGTCCTACATTCGTGCTTCTTTTCCCCATCTGGGTCTGACCGGGGCGGCCATCACCTCCAAAATATATAGCAAGGTGGAACTACCAATTCTTTTTTTTGTTAACGACAACGACGAAGGGGTTCTTTAGTAACTAATTGAGATGTCAACCACGTCTTCAGAATTATTTCAGTCATCTACAAGTAGTCCTCTTTGTTCGACACATCTTTTCTCTATTGTCTTGGCATCGGTAATGCCTGGTTATAGAGCTGGTAATTGGAGCACGATGGAGAAACTCGCAATCTTTCATTGCGGGTAGACGATCATTGGTGAATAACAGCCAATAGAAGGATAACATCCTACATGAAATTGCTCTGTATGTTAACTTTTCGCCCGACAACGATGGCCATGATAATCGTATGTGACGGAAAGTTGGTGCTGTATAATTCAGGAGGCAAGTATGACTTGCGCGAGAAGATGGACTGACCTACTGGATGTTATTGAACAAGCCCTAACTGAGACTGCACCGAGTGACGAACAAAGACAGGTGGAAGGAATTGCTATCATCAACGCACCCAGTAATGGACATCTGATATTTTGAACAACGCACAATTGACATCCGCAGTGGGTTTGAGACAGACCAGATGCGATCCTTTGGAGGAATACCGTTGTGAGATATCCTAGCACATTACCTACAGATGAAAACCCTTATTAGTTCAGAACAGAGCATCTCTATCTATTGTTTATGACTCAACGCCTTGGTTATATCAGACTTGGGTACCACAGTGTCTGCTTATCGATTATGGAATGTCAAAATCATTCCCAGAGCTTCTACAACAACGTCATGTCTGAAAAGATGGATCACTTCATTCATGTGACTGATTTTGAAAACAACGAAAGGGCTATCACCTCAGATTGCAAGAAGAGCGCTCAAGACAAAGACAGATTTCAATACTAGGAGGTAGCAGACTTATCCAACCGTAAAAATACCGGTGAATAGAACAAGGTCCATGTCCTCAGCCACAATCGAAAACACAAATGGCCTGTCAAACACCACACTAGGTAGATAGGTCGGACGACCACCTCGTCCCATTACCACCGCTGTACCAGCTGCGGACTCCGTGCCGTCCTCGTCCAGCAGGATAGCAACACTGTGTACGATATGTTGAACCATGATGCCACCGGAAATGCCCGGAAATGTTCCAGATATCGGATATGCCAGGTCACAAAGCGATTCGACGATGTCCTCCTGGACACGAAGACTAAACTTTGGGAGGCCAAATTGCAGTAGCTTTGTTGGTTCGAAGCGGTGCGGAGGTCCGTCACGGCGCAGTGCTTGTAACGTATGGAGCAGAGAGCTGGCATCGGTCGGTAAATATGCGATAAAAGCCAATTGGGACGAGGCACTGGAGGTATAGGGAAGCCGAACGGCTGTATAGATCCTGTTTCGCGAGATCAGAATTTCGTGACGATGCAGGAGCATCATTTCGACAGGACAAGTTCGATGACTGGATACATGGAAGGGAAAGTCCTTGAGAGTATTCTTCCGATCGAATCTCTTCTGCCATGCGGCTTTGAACACAAGTGCATTTACTAAGACTATGTTGGCATGGGCGAGGGTCTGGCTGTTCAGCATACATGGGATCAATCCATTCGTGTGTTCAGATACCCAGGCATTTATACAGTTTGTTCCGTCTTCCAGGCGAGCAAAACTATGATCCAAGTGTGCACCGAAGCATCTAAGATATTCGACGTAAGTAGGCGCGATATCGGTCGAGCTGTTCGCAAACATTGCATTTGCGGTAGTGAACCGCCGTCGACGATCAAACGCGCTGGTCAAGGTATCCTGAATTGTCGAAAGGACAGGTATCAACTCTTCAGGATCGTCTAACCCAAGCTTTTCGCAGAACTCTTTGCATCTCGCTTTGTCTGCCCCTCCCGCGAGCATGCCTAGTGCGATAGTGATCGCCAAAGGGGATACAGCGATGGCCACCGATGAATCCCTCTTGACACATAGGTGGGTTATCAGATTCCACCCCAGCTGATTGACAGCTTGAATCACCGATGGCGGCATCGTTCTATGTGGAGATATCATCACAAACAGGTTATAAAATATGGAGATGAGCCAGGGGGAAATATCGTCTCAACTTCTTATATAGTAGATGTTAAGATGGGAGGGCAGTGTGCTTGGTAGCCTCGCTTACGGGGCGGATCATCCTCCTGGCCGGCCTAGTTATTACAATATTATACGTCATGAAGTTGTTCTGCAAATAACAGGAATCATTTCAAGCTACAAAGGCTAGCAGAAGATAATTGCGTACAGGAAGCAATTCCCGCCACGATCCTCAATCACAGTATCATGGTAACATACCATGACGGCCAAGCACGTCAGGTCGGAGCCGCAACTCCCTGGTTTATTCCTGCCTCACTGTTTTGGCGAGATCCCAAACTCTTCATTTTCGGCAATCGCAGGTGTTGGGTTGGTTGTTTTGTTATAGGAGTTTTCGGTGAACGTGTTTCCAGTACCCTCAAGCTCTAGAACGCGCTCGGCATCCTCGCTTAGCATGTATTCTTCCTTGTCAATATGGCGGAACATGAAGTAGAAAATCACAGTGAGAACACCACCCACGATTGAGGGACCGCCGAATACCCAGGTCAGGTAAGGATCCCTGACAACGGCGGAGCATGCGAGCCTATGGCATAAGCAACTGCGGTGTTAAGTAGGTTGATGGCTGAGACTACGCCACGCATGTTCTTGGGAGCGCGGGAATAGGCGATACCATAGGCTGGTACATTGACAAACAGTTCGGAGATACCACCCAGTGCATATGGTATGGCCATCCACTGACATTCCGTTAGCAAGCAACAACTCCGTCGACCGAATGAAAGGGTGGATGGAAACAAGAATACATACCCAAATGCTGATCGGTGCCACCAATGAAACTCCGTCCGCATCCACGCATGTGTCGGAAGAACCGTACTTGCCACAAGGTCCGAGCTTGTAGGCGTAGTAGTTGAGCACCGTGTAGCCGACGCCGCCTATGGAAGACAAGGCCAGTCCCGTCGTGATCCGAGCCACAGGGCCATATCGAATGTGGAGACGACGAAGCAACGGGTAGAGCATGTAGTTGAGGACCGGGGCGCCCACGATGATACTAAGAGCGTTGAAGTTGCTAATAACATCGTTTGGCACGCCGTTCGTCGTCAACATGGTGGACAAAAAGCTTGCCGCGTTACCCAACCCGTTGTCATTGAGGAACTGGATTGGGAAGAAGCAAAAGATTCCTGTCGCCTGGAATGCGCGGCGGACGTCCTCAACAAATTGGTCGTTCCAATGAGTCGTGAAACCCTGGCCCTTGGCTGCGATTACTGACGGCTTGGCCGCATCCCAGAAGCCATGGCGTCCAATGCGCAACACGCCGCCACGAGCAAGGCAGATGCGCAGTACACGAACGACATTGAGCAGGTCGCTGCCACCGGGAGGGTGTAAAACAAGACGTTTCCGCAGCCAGAACTAACACCAGATTAGTATTGGTGGCAGATCGGTTATAGGGTATTTCATCATGACATACCAGGAGGGCAGGAAGCGGAAGATACAAAAATAGCGGCAGGATAAAGGCCAACCACCACCCGACGTATTTCTCAGCATAGGAGGTCGCGACCTGCATGAAGCCACCGATGTTGATAAGAAGATAGAACCACAACATCGCACGCTCCGTCGTGACCTCAGGGTCGACGATAACCTTCTCGCCACTGGACAGCAGCTTGGTCCTTGCCTTCGTCGTGGGCATCTGATCCAACAGCAGGGGGGAGACATTGGGCTTGAACATGGCTGTGATTGTTAGTGATGAACATCAGTAGCGGTATATGAGGTAGAACATACCCGCACCGACCGACAACATATATAAAGAAATGAAGAAAGGCGCTTTAGCACCTCCATTGGCAAGTAGTGCTGGGGCGGCCGCCCCAACCATTAGGACATGGGCGACACCAAAGACGAAGACACCCCAGAAGATCATCTTAAAGCGGCCCGTATGAGCGTCGGCTAGATAACCGAACAGCATGGGAAGGACATACGCCAGCATACTGAACGACTGGTTGACGGCGTTTGCCTTCACAGTGCCCATGCCCAGGGCGCCAGCCGTCTGTTGTGTTCCCTGTGGGGGTGCACCGTAGCCATTGCCACCGACGGGTAATGGACGATTGACGAAGTTGGAGATGAGGCCCGAAACGCCCAAGTACGAAGCTCGCTCGGAGAACTCGACCGCACAGATGAGATAGGCTACCAGGGGGAGATTCCCCGGCACACGTCGCAGGGTCGCCAACTCTTCCTCGGTGGGCTCGTTCTCCTCGTACTCTCCCGCAGCAGGCGACGTTTCCTCTATGGCGGGAATCTCGACCTTTTCGTCATAACGCTCTTGGGACGCTGGATGTATGTTAACAATCTGATCACGGGAAACTATGCAACTGGACAGATTCAAGACAAACGTACCCATTGTGAGGAACTGGCTCTATAGGAGCAGCATACAAGAGACAAACGAAAAAACAAAAAAGGGGACAAGCGACCGTGTCTGGAACGGATCAGCGGTAGCCGGGGCCTCTTTAAAGCACTCATTCTCTTGTTTCCCCTTGTTGGCTCGGATGTAACTAGAGATATATTAAGCAAAGCGGGGTGGCAGGCCACATCCAATGACGGAGACGATCAGTTGACACAAGATATTAACTAGCATGAGGAGAGATAGCAAAGGACCTATCACGCAACGAGAAGAAAGATAAGCTTGCCATGGGGAAGCGTCTTAGCATGCGTAGCTAAGCACTACGACTAAGTTAGTTAGGGCTTAGCACGGATGGCGTTGTCCGGCTGGTCCATACCGTTCATCCCACACCGTCTGCGAGATAACGCATATTGCACTATGTGGGCCTCAATATCACCCGATGTAACCCTGCCCCAAGCTGTATGAACATACCGTGGGTCTGTGGGTATGCCGTCGCTTTCCCTGTCCCCGAGCATAGGCAGTTGGATTTATGCATCTGCAGAGCTACAACCCAATCCAGTTGATTGCGAGATTTACATTGCATGAAGAGAAGACGAGAAATAGGGCCTCTCCAGATCGACCCAGCAAACAGCATGGACACGCATACCGAGTTTTCAGTAGATCATCTGTGACACACTGCAGTTCTGTTTCTCTGGTCACGTGCTCCACTGGCCCAATTTGACCCTCATGTGAGGCTTTACTTTACTTTCCATATATTCATGGCAAGAACGCCTGTATATACCAGGCGAGTCTTGTTCAGTCCATGTTCCCCTTTCCAAATCAGCTCATCCGGTCATACAATGCCCTCGAACGTGACTGAAGAAATAATAAACCGCACAGCTCCAGGCACGGGGCCGAGGTGGGCAAGAGTTGGGCGAAATGTTCCCTCCGGCCTGGGCATGGACATGAGGTTATTCACGCCCGTTGTACCTTACCTCTCCTCCAAATGCCAGATCGATTTGGGACGCCTTTCCCATGTATACGAGGACAACGGTGACCAATGAGAAACTGTGGCCTTGGGCTCAGCCACTTCATCGCCAACATTTAAGGTTTCGGCAAACACGAGAGGCAAGAGAAACCTCATCCGTTCGGTCATCATGGCACATATTCGCGAACAGATGCAGATCCCTCTTCTCCATCGTTCTTGTACCTGGACTACTATCTTTGCTTAGATCTCACTGAGTCAAAAGGATGTACAAACGAAGCGTTTTCACCAACATCACCCCGCTCCCACCCTATATCACGCGGGAGACGGTCGTAGAAGCCCTCCACAACCATTCGGAAATGATTGAACTGAATCCTTTGGTGATCCGTCATCAGCCTTGTCGCCCGCCCGGCTTTTCGCCTGCGGATGAATTTCATTGTACCTGGTACGAGATGACCGACCGTATCTCGTATCTACCAGGCGGGCTTGTCCAGGGCAATGTGTCCTACTCAGGGTGCTTTTATGATCTTCCGCGGGGCCTCCAGACGCATGTCTATGCCCCAACCGGTTTGGACATCCGAGAGAAATGGTCTGTATGTGGGAATATGCCGGGAGAGCCGCGAGAGCCCGTCGAACTGGGCATTCCCGATGCCCCCCGTGAAGGCTGTACCTTCGGGAAGATGTGAACATGCGGTCGCAGATTTGGGCCACAGGCTTTGTTAAACGGACACTCAAAAAGGCCCATGCGGTGCTCGTGGACCGGTTGGTCATCAAGGCGGATCTGGAAAAGCAGAAGAGGGACTCAGTATCAGGATGTGTATCCGACTCATATCTCCAACAGCAGACAAGTCTGTCTAACGATCAAAAGTCGACTCAAGAGGAGGACCCCATGTCACCGCACCAGAATCGCTGGTCAAGGGCCAGTGACATTGCCGAAGTTCCTGGCTCGTTGCAGGCGGGACAGAAATTCAATCAGCGACCAGATCGCCTTGTGTATGAACTTGAATAGGGATGGCCGTATAATTGACGGCTATTACTTTTTTTTTTTTTTTCTTTTTCTTTTTTCTTTTTTCTTTTTTCTTTTTTCGTTTTTGTTTT